GAGGATTGGAAACCCCTCCGATGTTTTTTGGGTCTAGTCCGATTGGTCGCACGCGCATGCATTATTCGGCAATCGCAGACGGTAACTTGTTACTCTGACTTCATTAGTAAAGATGTGGACTCCACAGAAAAGATGCACTGCGTACTTTGGTTAACGGAATTTAAATCAGTCACGCGTGCACAGCGACGTGTTCGTACAGAATGGAATTTCCATCTTCTGACATTGAAATCTATGCACCAATGGTAAAGATCTTTAAAGGAGACGGAAACTTTGGTATCTCAAACTGTTTAGTACCCTTAAGTTTTCATGATAGAAGACACTGTTGGCCGTGTGCGTGATTCATTTTGTAGGAGTCTTGATAAATCTATTAGGCAAGCCAGTAACGACATTTTATTCTGCTCGAACACGTTCTATTCTGTTCGAACATTCTATTCTGTTCCGTTAACCAAAGTACGAACTGCAACTTTTGCTGTGGCGTCCACATCTTTACTCGTGAAGTCAGTGTAACAAGTTATCGTCTGTGATTGCCGAACAATGCACTCACGTGTGACCGATCGGACTAGACTCAAAACCCCTGTAGGGGTTTCCAATCCACGGATAAACAGTTTATTACATTCTGATAGGTATTTCCGTAATAATAAATCATAACTTTAAGCAAGGACACCCTGTATAATAACCTTCCCCCCTCAGCACGCCCGAAGCCTTTGGTGTCTGTATAACTGATCCCAAGTTCTGAAAATACCACCTCAATTACCTTATTGAAAAAAATCTAATAGAACATATTTGAACTTGAAGTTAGGGTAAAAATAAATGACATAAAAACAAAATGTGAATTAAAAATGGTAATCACAAAAGAATGGAGGAACATCGATGCAGAAATTATCGTTGTGGACGCTTTCTACTAAGTACTAAATTAAGAAAAATTTACAAAAGTCAAGACTATGTAGAGGTTTTTTAAGTGTGCGAAGACTTTCGTGACGTAATTTTTTCTTATTTTTTTATTAGTAATTTTTAGAAATAAAAGTTATACTATGTAATAAGAATTCATTATGTTATTTCGTTAAGAACAAATTGCAAATAAGAAAATTACAAATCTGATGAATTTATTTTTATTAGCAGATAACATTTTAAATTATATGGAAAATTCTAAGTCTATAAAAACTTTTGGAACAAATAACAAACAAATTCAAATTTCATTCTGCTACGTTGGTTGAAACGCGACAAAATGAAAAAATATTATATAATATTGAAAAAACTTGAAATATAAAAAAAATATGCGTGATTATATATATATTGTAATTAGCAAGTAATAAAAATAAAAATTAAGATTGCCTTTTTTTTTTATTTTGAGCTTTACAAAAGGATAAAATTTATCTTATCAAATCAAAATTCTACTACTTTTTACAAGACCTATATAAGGTAATATAAGCAAAGTTTCATTACCAGATATAACCATAGAATGACAGACATATTTTCTCTATAATTATCTGAAATTAAATCAGCACTATTAATAAATCGTTTTAAAGTTCAAACTACCTCATTTTTGTGGATCTTGACTTATATCTTGTCTTACTTATCAATATTCACTTGTAATAGTATCTTGATTTAAAGAATGATAAACTCCAATTTTTTTTAAAAATAAATAAATATTAAAATTACCCACTAACCTTATGAAATATTATATAACATTTTTAGAGCGATTATCGAAAATTCCTAGAAGAAAAATAAAAAAGGCAAATTTATCCTCAATGTTTCAAAGTTCTCATTTATCAACCTTTACTCTTTCAAGTAAAGGTTGTATCTCACTGTGCTTTGGACCGTAATTTTTTTGTTGTTGTTGTTCCGGTTTTCATTCCACCATTCAGTTCCGAATGAATTTTCTTTTAATGAATATTCTTATTTGTACTAAAAATATAATTTTATCATAAAAAACATGTAATTCTATCAAAATTTAAAAGATTTTACTCTTTTTTTTATTTGGAACAATACATGAATTGATACAATTAACCAGCATGTTCGATACGAGTGGTAAGCAGAGAACGGCGAACAGTGGCATTGTTATCCATTACCAAAAACGTATTTGATAACTAGTTACAGTCGACTGTTGCTAATTCAAACCTTCTATAATACGAACCTCTTTCTAATTCGATGTATATGCTCAGTCCCTAGAAAAACTCTGATATTTCGAACTAAAACAATACGTTTTAGTACACTCAATATTTCGAAGTAAAATCAGTGGCTGACATGACTACAACACGTGATAATTCGAAGTGATGTAATAAATATCTTTCCAATTGAAAAACTCACTGTCATGTAGAGTCCTGTAGCAAAAAGGTTGGAGCTTACAAGTTTTGTGTTGTATTGTCGCTGCGTGTCTCCCCATTAACGTAGTCCCTTTAATGACCATTTGTCTGCAACCCCTTCTTAGTTTTTTCCGATTCATCAGGCGAAATACACTTTTATTGCTATCCTTCTTCAAGTGGACAATAGACCAACCGCACTTGTTGTCAGCCATCCATAACTTTTGTTTAACACGTGGTCTTGCTACACATGTGTTCAGAAAGTATGGTCCATTATTGTGAAGAAGAGATGCGTAGGATTGTGTATGAATGTATTCTTTTAATACAGGACTTTTAACTTCTGTATAATACTTTACTTAATACAAAAATACTTTAAAATAAGTTTATACGTATGTACAGTTGTTGTTTTATTACATAGTTTCAAACTTAAATGTGTCAGAAAAAAATTTCTCTTTGTGCAGTTTGGGAGTTTTTTCCTATCCTCTTGATAATACGAACTCTTGATAATTCGAAGTTTTTCATTCGTCACTTCAACTTCAAATTATCGAGAGTCGACTGTATATGATTCTTGATTATCTATCTAAACAATCTGTACAGTCATCTATGAATCATCGCATGTTGAGATACGAAAAATATAACTCTAAATTATATTTTTCTTAAAAATCACCATTATTTCTTGTTCATTCAACTGAATTAAATCTGCCTTATACAAGTAGTTTCATGCGAAAATGAAACAGAAAAGTACTAGTGAACATCAAAGCAGGAAATCGAGAAGCAATGTACATGTAATGATAATAATTATTAAATATATTAAATTCGAAAATATTGATAAGTTTGTCACAGTAACAAAATGAAGATATATCAAACCAAAATAAACCAATGTTTTTTTTGGCACAGTTCCGGTTTCCGTTCTGATCAAAATAACGGCTTTTTCCAGTTTTCGGTACAGTTAGGGTTCGAAGCCCTAGTGTAAATTCCGTTACCATGCACGTATACGTCAGATAGGATCTAGAAATGCCAAAAAAATAAAACAAAAACAAAAAGATGGAAATGAGGCTAAAAAGAAAAAAAGAAGAAAAATTTCTGGATTCAAAAATAAAACTTGCAAAAGATTTCGTAGCAATAAAAAAGTAACTTTATTGCTACGAAATAGAATTCTATGAATATTAAAACACTAAATGACAGCTTCAATGTGTTAAATATATTTGTTTCTCAATATATTCATTATCGTTTGGAAAAATGGAATGTTTACTGTGCTAATAATATTTGCTCGAAAAAAAAGTTAAATAATACAATAGGCGCGAAGTTTTCGTTTTTTAAAAAATGTAAAATATTCCAAAGAAAGAACAAAATTATAACGAATAAAATTCTTTCGTCTTTGTAGTCCGTTTTTTTCCCCTGCTTACCTTCAATTTTACATTTTAATTTATTGGTTCTAGAAAACGTAGAACCTAAACTTTTATTAGAATTCCATTTGAACTTCCAAAAATCATTTCAACATTCTTTTCATTAATCTTAAAGTTTGTCATAAAATACAGAATATATTTTTGTCTGTGTTGGGGGTTTAAGTGTATCTCTTGTTCAAAATCGTAAGAGCTTTCGAACTCACATTTATCTAAGTAAACGTTGCAGGGAATCACTTTGAGGTAAAGCAGCATTTTTACCAATAAATTGAATTTTTATTGCTTTAGAAATAATTTTAATACTTTCACTGATTCTCAATAAGTTTTGTTGATGAAAAATAATTTGTAATATAGAAACAACTGTCTTAAATAACTATCTTAAGCCAGTCAAATGTTTAAATGTACATGCAAATCCAGGGAATTTTTTCGCTAAATAACTATAAAGAAAAACACAGAAAGAGAAACAAAATCTTTAGTAGGCATAGTTATTTTTTAATAATTCATAGAAGACTTAAAAGCTACAACCTTCTGTGCAAAGAGTCGTGATTTGCCGATTCCTGGCCTAGATCAAGAACAAATAAATTTTTAACGAAAAATAAATACATTGAATTTTGTATAAAACAGTTCATTACTTTTTCAATTCCTTCTTTTATAGTTCACTCTTTCTCCGATATATATATATATATATATATATATAGAATTTTCCTGACTGCTGCAAAATACACGTGTGTTAGTTTTAGGCCTAACTTTTCAACATGGCTCTGTTTTTTCTATTATGTCGAAAATGTCTGCTGTGTGGGAAGGTGGATCCATAAAGTATACTTAACTCTAATTTTGCTGGTCCTAATTCAGCAACAGCTTTAGAAATCATAATAGGTCTCCCTTTTAGTCCAAAGGCTCTTTTGGTTCCTTCCATTTTAAAGTTCTAACTCTGTTTCCTGTTATACATACTTTTATTCAAATCTAGTACAATATTCATTTCCACCATTTATTTTCTGGTTATGTTTCTTAGAGTCTGGTTTCTATCTTTTAGCTTTGTTGGTTGTATAATTTTGTCTCATTATTTTATTTCATTTTATTATACTATATATTGTTAATAATTTTCAATTTTTAATAAAATACTTTCTATTCATCCATTCAAGTTCAAATACATTTTTTAAAGCTTGTAGTACAGGACTCTTGATGTTAATATAGTTTTTTCAAATATTAATTCATTAATTAAACTAAAAAATGAATAATTAGTACAAACAAAAATAATAATCCAACACCATATATAAAAAGGAAAATCGCCCGTTGTGTCCCTGTAGAGCAATTAATAGCGCGTTGGACTTCTAATCCAAAGGTCGTGGGTCAGAATCCAACCTGGGATGGCCTAATTTCTGAGAATGTGATTTCTTTTTTACTATACTATTTTATTAGAATAATTAAATTTAACTAATGTATAAATAGTAACAAACAAATAAAAAAATAGTCCAGTACCATTATATAGAAAGAAAAATGGAAAATAGCATTCTATTTTGTCACTTAAATATTGTGATTCTGTCATATGTATACACATATTTATATTAATTGTAACTATTTAATAAAAAGTAACTGAAATAAAAAATTTCTTTGTTAACCTAAGTAGAAATCGAATTTAAAAAAAATTATATTACTTGGTTGCTTTAGATAGATTTTTAGATAAAAAAAAATTCCTTCTTTTTAAACATTTTTCTGAAAAAAAATCTTTTAAAAGACTCAGCAAACGACATTTTTTAAATAAAATCTTAATATTCTACTAAGTGACCTCCGCGATTAAATATTCTTAAATGTACAATTACAATGAAAACTTCTAGATTCGAATGGAACTTTTCAAAATTAAACGCAGAGAGAACATCTATATTAGTTGCAGAAAAAGTCATCAAGAGATAGAATATATATTTACGATGTAAAAGAACGATCACTCATTATTGTACTTAAAGGATATGATAAAATAGCAACCTCAAGATGGCAATCTGAATTTGGGCACGAGGAAGTTAATTTACTCCTGTATGTAGATAACAACCCTCATAATCGTTCAGTGACACCAGTATCGTAATCTGCATCATCAGTTCCCTGATAAGTACTCACTGAGCTAAAAAAAGGACCCGGCCGAGCTTTAAAAAGAACAATTGTGTACAAAAGTATCAAATTTTGTTTATTCTCTGTTCGAGTACTCGTGTATTTTTAGTTCTCAGAATGAACATAACTTTATTTTCGATTTCAGATGGTGTGGTTAATATACAAGTAACTGAAAACAGACTTGGTGTTTTTGTAAACGCATGGCGCTTTAATGATTCAGAGGATATAGGTGTAGAAGTATAAGATGCAGTAAAATTTATTTATTTTTCGTTGGAAGAATATTATGAAAATATTCTAATGCTTTGTTGGAGTATTTTATGACCAATCAGCTTGAATTTAGAAACTATTATATTTTATGTATTAATTCACATTGCTAGTCCTTAAAATTATAACATCATGAAGGAGATATGATACAAACGTCAAATTCGTATGAAAGAAAGAAGATGACAGTCGGAGCTCAATTCATTATCTACAGGACTGGAGCAATATATGCGACTTCGTGGGCATACAAATTATAACCCATCTTAGAAATCTAGCCAAGGAAAGGGAAGTCCACTTTCAGTGGATTCCCTCCCATGTTAACATCCAAGGGACCGATGCTGCAGACATCTTGGCTAAAAGAGGCTGTTCTGAGCCTCTCAACCGGGAGTACAAATTAACATATAAAGAAATTTTCTCTGTAAAGAAAAAAGCAGTCAGACAAGACTGGCTCACCCCTCCCGCCCATCCTTGGTTCAGCAGGAAGACCCCGGGTGAAGCGTTAGAATTTGGAGGTGACAGAAATGATCAAACGGCCATCTCAAGACTCATAAGTGGACATTTAAAAAACATGACATTTGACTCGGGACGCAAAGTCTTTTCATTGTGCAAAAAATGCAATCTGAAGCCGGCATCCCCCGATCACATCCTGGATTGCTTGGGGTTCGCTCTGGCGGATGTTTATGAAAGTCCTCTACTGGTGCTTGACTTCTCTAGAGTTCACGGTATCATGGATCTGATCTAGCTGCCGCTAGATCTCTGAGGGATTAGAAACAACAACAAGATGAAAGGGTATGAAAATAATTAGCATTCAACCGTATTCGCGAACGACGCAGGATAAATGGTACTTCAAACTCTTTTTAAAAAGAGTTAAGCAGTGTGTTTCTTGTTTGGAAATCACATTCAAATGTTAGTTGTTTGTGAGGAGATCGTGTTATGCCTTGTATAAGAAGGAGAAATGGTTACTAACCCGTATCGGAATTCGATAACAGCAGGATCGAGGTCTATCGAGAGTGAGGTGTACCATTCTGCGATTTTTCCACTCTCATTGGTTGGAATTCAACGACTGTTATGTAAATATGGAATAGGTGGCTTTAAGAATATCATACCGAACGCCATACAGGATCTCACTAACGCTCCAGAATACAGGCATGTTGTCAGGTTGGCTTTACAAGATAATAAAACCATATCATGGACCTTGAGTCAGGAAATAGATTAGTTTTTAGATCTTTAAGTATTCCCACGGACAATTCCATGACGTTTGGAGTAACGCAGACTATCTGCAAGGCAACCATTAAAGCAACTTTCCTTGACACTGCAGCATATAGACTCGTAACGAAAACGGATACAGGAGCTGTATCAAGTCGTCTTTTCAGACAAGTCCCGGTTCTGCGTGCAACTTAATAATTGATCAGTATCTGGAGGTATCGAGGAAAAAGCACGGGGCATTATTGCATTCAACATCGTCATACGGGCTGAGTACCTGATGTGATGGTATGAACATTCATGTGCGTGCACAGCACAAACGCCTCTTGTACGTGAGTGTTGGTAGTCGGAGCATCCAACGTTACGCCGTGGCCGCGGTAGCCAAGTGGTCAAGGCATCGGATCATGGCTAGTGTGTCATAAGTTCGAGCCCAGTACCACTGAAGACCCGCCATGTAGGGGAGCGATGCACTCCACATCTGTCCTCCCGTTGGTGTGGTGTGATAGTTAGGAGAGGGGAGTGCCAGCTCAGGTGTCGTCCGCGTCACTTGACCATGGTTCAAAATTACGCCGTCCGTCGCCAAAAGCCCTCGTGTAGCTGAACAGTGCGACGTTAATATTTACACACTCTCTCTCCATCAAAATTGGGGTGGAACCGAGCAAAATCGTACTGTCACCTGAATGGTGCTCAAAGCTACGGCTAATGACAGGCGTATAACTAGCCCCTTGCCACGATGAATTTCGTGGGCCTTGATCTGATGTTACTGTCGCGCATGCACGCGATCAAGTGGTATAAGTAACAACAGCATTAGTTGTATTGTCCGTTTGCCAAAGTCAATTTTCAACAAGGGAGATTTTTTCAAAAGTGTTTTGTTTTTTTAAAATTTATTTGACTTTAAAAAAATTTTGAAACATCAACAACTCAGTAGATAAATAAAACTTCAGCAAAATATTTCCACAGAAACGTGATAGCTAACACTTTCTACAGATAACAAGTCTGGCACACAATTTCCAATGCAAAAGCGATAAACTTCCAGAAAATATGAAAGATAGTTAAAAATTAGTTCCAATCATAAAATGGTCGTTACTCCACTGTTGTCTATAATCACGAATCAGAAAAAATATATCAAGACCCACCGTGTAGGGGAACGATGCACGTTAAATCTGTCGAGAGCTCAACCGTCCTCCCGTTGGTGTGGTGTGGTAGTTAGGAGAAAGGGGTGCCAGCTCAGGTGTCGTCCCGTCACTTGACCATGGTTCAAAATTACTCGGTCCGTCGCCAAAAGCTCTCGTGTAGCTGAACAGTGCGACGTTAGTATTCACCCACTCACTCACCCAACGTTACGCTTTTCAGATCTTAAAGCTGGTGGTTGCGCCCTATTTTTGAGGCCTCTAAGACCTCATCTTTTAACAAGATAACTCAAGACTTCATGTTATACGTCGGATTTTGATCCATCTTGACTCAGAGTGCCTTCGATTGTTGCCTTGGTCAGCATTATCTTCAGATCTCTCACCAATTCGAAAACATCTGGTCATGGGTTGTTGAAAAATCGTTCGTTCTTCAGAAACTACGATTGACGAAGCGTATAATAGACTTGAAGCAGCATGGAATAAATTGCTCGTATTTTTCATCCAATCGTAGTTTGATTTAATATCTAACCGAGATAGAAACGTTTTAGGTGCCAGAAGAGGCATCTGTGTGCACTTATTTCGGACCTAAATACCCCAAAATTGTTTACAAATTGAAGCATGTTTTCTTCCTACTGTGAAAATTGAAGCATGTTTTGGAAAATTGATGGGTAGCGTGAGAGTGAAGAAATTAAATAATTTATTCATTACGTCCACAGCGATTAATTACGTTATGTACAGTTGGTTACAAGTTATTCAAACTATTGACTCTTTCCATTTTACAGAATATGTTACTTGTGAAGGAGGACGCAACACAACCAGAACGGTTTGCGTTCTTTCCATTGTTTCTAAGTGGTCTCCTTCTCCACTGTCTTGGTGAGGGGGCAGTTCCTCTCTTACGCCTCGAACTTCACTCGGGGTTTCCGGCTCTCAGGAGGGATCCAGTCGTTGGGTTTTTCACTTCCATCGGTTATCGGCATGAAGTCAGATGAAAAGCCCCCCCCCCTCGCAATAGTTTCTAAGCACATGTGTGGATATGAACGGTGTAAATCTATCTACAATAAAGAAGCCAATTTTGCACCTGTGTTCGCGAACGTTCCACTGATATGCAGCATACATAAAATACGGAAGTAAAGTTTTATTCAGATAAAAAATCAATAAAGATGTGCATAAATGAGATCCTTCTACCCTATATCGCTTAATATGGGACAATTCTATTTTCAGTTAAATGAAAATCGCTCAGGAATTTGTGATTATCGTATAAAGGATTAGCTGGCAACTCTGTTTTGATTGGTAAAAGAGGGCGCTGCTGGATGATGAAAATGCTTTTCCTTTGAGCGGAAAAAAGAGAAATAGATAGACGGGGTGAAAACAAGAAAACTGAAGGAGATTTATAATTCTATGTCTTATATAACTGTTAATCGTGTAGTGTGTATTAAAAAATAATAATAAATGATTTTTAATGCGGAGAATGGAAGTCATGTTTTCAATTAACGACATAGAATTGTAACAACCAGCATATACGAAACAAAGGAAACTGCTTTTTTTTTAAAGATCTCTAAAAAAATAACAAGTTTACCTCATACTGGACCTTGTACTCATTCTGGACTTTACCCCACAAATTGAAAACTCAGGAGGGCTTCCTGCAAATTGTCCTGAGGGAGGTGGATAGATCTGAA